TAGCTCAGCAATGTAGAATATTTCGTACACTTGAAATTTATACTAAAAGTGGGACATCCACCTTCAGTATCTCTCTCTCTCTCTCTTTCTCTCTTTTTATTCGAATCTCCTTTTTCTGGCCGTTGTTGTTGTTCACTCACTTTACAGTATTTATCTGCCTCCTGTCCAGTTATCTATTTTCTAGCTGCTATTCTTCCATTCAGCAATTAGTGGATTGATCCATAAAGCAGTACTATTACATCTCGAAAGCAGTGCCTTGCAAGCAGTGTTTACTTCTGATGTCGTGATCGTTAAACCTCCCAAGAATTCGTTTCATCCGTAAAGCAGCAGCTTAAAATTTAGTTTCAACCTATTGTAAGTCTCCATGTTAGGGAAATTTCTATTATGTGTCTAGAACTTCCAGTAAATGGTGCTTAAAAATCTTTCAGTAATAGAATCCTTTCCCCAATCGAACCCCTTTCACCTGTGTCTCTCTCTCTCTGTCCATTTGTTTGTTCCTTTGTTTATCCTCACCTCTAGATCGTCTGCCCCATTAATCAGATATATGATTCTACATATGTCTGTTAATACGTTCATGTATCTGTATCTACCATCTGCCATTTATATATTTATAAACCTATGTACGTAAATGTATATAAACTTCCCGTATGGGAATGATTTATCGCGTTGATATCGCTGTGTGCATTGTACTTTTGTTTCTTCTTGTGTCAGCTTTATGTTCCTACTTGTATATTGTATTTTTTTTATCGACTTTCATTCTGCGAATTTGATAGACAAAGAAATCAAGAATAAAAATTAAGTCTAGGTATACAGATTGTTGTACATAAATAATATATGCACGTACAAATTGCAATGGCCGCCCATTGCGTGTGTCTTTCTTGATTTTTGCTTGCCTTTTACTTTATTTTTTATTGATTCTGATACTGATTCTAGTACATCGTAAGCCGGCCCCCCCATATCAAGTCATATCATATCGTATCGTATCATATAGAAAAGAGGTTTCCTCTAGTCCTCGTCTCCTATTACCCCCATATTTCGTTGTCTGTCGGTTTGTTTGTTTGTCTACACAGATATCGAACATGGAAGCATGGAACCATTGTGGGAATAACATGGGGCTATCTCTTGATATGAAATTGTAATGACAAGCAGCAGATACGGATAGATAGGTGCGATAAATAGGCAACCCAACAGTATGAAAGAAGGGAACAAGAGTAAAAGCCTTTGTTGCTGTTTTTATAATCTCTGCCAGCAAAGACCACGCGAAAAGTGGAGAAAATGAATTGTAGTAGAGGAAAAAAGTAATCCTAGTAAGCTACAAACTTCCATTATTAAAATATCTTCTAAAAAACATTCTGATACCAATCTCTTCTCTGGCCATGAAATATTACGCCTACCTATTCTGTACTTACGGTGGCGTTTCATTCCATTGATATACGATTCCGATTAGGAGCAGGAGTAGATGCACACCTCTTCCCCGTAGTTAGTCCCCACTCACACAAATTCCACCAATAACTGATACAACAGATCTTTTGTTCTAATCTTATCGAATTCGAATGGGATTTCTTGGAACGCCAATTGTCATTTGCTTTTCCTTTTGTGGAATGCCTTGTTTATACTGTAACATTTGTTTGGCATTTTCATTGCTTTGGCTGCAGATTGAGCTTTGGTCTTGTGGGCCTTTTGATTACTTCTGGCTCTTCTTCTTTGATAAAATGAAACTCGAACCAGAGAGCCACTCAAATGAGGTACAGAGAAGAGACACCGAGACAGAATCAGCTGCATTCTGATTGATCCGTGCCTCTGATCTACCGATTCTTCTTATTTCCATTAACCCCCCCAACGGATTGTTTCTCTTGTTTCTGTTTCTGTCTCCCTTTTTTTAAATTCTCATTTAATCTTGTTTCGGTTTCGGATTGTTGTTTTTGTAACGCCCCCCAAAACAAAAAGAAAACAACTTTGATTAATGTAATTCTGCGGATTTATCTCTCTCTCTCTCTCTCCCTCTCTCTCTCTCTGGCGCTCTGCGGCCTGTTCCTGTTCCTCTTACTCTACTGCTGCACCGTTCTGTACTTTTACCGTTCGTTGGCTCATTACACGCATGTTCTACCTTTATTCGCTCTCTTCTGCTTCAATCTTCCATGCCATACGGGTTACGGGTGATACGGTTTTCGTTTTATGCTTTTGGGCTTCTACTTTGTTTTATTTTTTATATTTCGGATACCCTGTTCTTTTGGAGAGCAAGCGATTTTGAGGTATGATGTGTTGATGTGTCATCTTATAATCAAATCAGTCTGTCATATTTTATTTAAATATTTTGCTTACAAGTTTCATATTTTAATTAAATATTTAAATAAATATTATTATTAGTATCTTAAAGTCGAAAGACTCTGTTTTGATTCTCCCACTCGTCCCAGAGCGTAGTGCAAAACAATCAATTGAATTGTGTTATCAACACAGAACAGAAAAAGAAAGAACTCAAAAGCAAACAACAAAACACTAGAAAAGCTGTTAAGTTTAGTCGTCAATAAAAAAAAGCTGTGCAACTGATTCCTCTGTTTGTTTTGTTTGTCGTGATATCATATTATTATATTAAGCCAAAGAACAATCAGTTTCCATGCCCTTGCAAGAACTTCTTGCTTTTATTTTCTGAAGAAAATGTGAGTAAAAAGTCAGTACAAAATGTCAATAGCAAAGTGCAGAACTGATGCCCCCGCTATTAATCCCAGAAATCATTCAACTCCTGTTCGACATATCCAATTAGTTTTAACTGTTCTTTTCGCAGTCTCTTAACTACTCTACTCTCATCGGCAATAATATACGTATGTACGTACGTGTTCTGTGCATGATTCGAGTTTTTGTTGTTGTTTGCTGTGGGAGTGCCTTTTATGATGGGTACTATACCTCGTTGAACCTTCAAACGTCTATCGCATTTCAATTTGCTGATAATTCTGATATATAGGTCGTTATATGATGTATTTTTTTTTAGCAGGCGTAAAAATAATAACAACGAGAAGGGACGTGTGAGACGCTTCTTAAGCGTCACAACTTTTATACTCGGCACTCAGTACTACATCTGTACCTTAGCGGTTATTTGTCATATTTTACATTTTTTCTTTATCTGCTCGCCGCCCTTCCCTAGAGCCAAACACTGCAGAGTCATGGCAGAGGCAGAGGCCGCCCACTGCGCGAAGCAGAGTGTGAATGAGAGAATGTGCAAAAAACATATTAAGCTGCGGGACGGGGTGGGTTTAGCCACTGCTAATTTCAATTTCAATGCAATTTCTTCATTCTGGCTATACCAATGATCAAATCGGATCCCTACGGAATGGCGTTTTTAGTTTTCTTTTATCTTTAAAATTGTTTTGGGTTTGGGAGGTTTTCGCCCTTTTGCGGGGGCGGAAGGGGGCGTGGCTCATTTTTGAAATACACTTTTAACAGTGTGAGCATACAGAAGTCTGGAGCCAAAATTTGGTGGCTCTAGCTTTTATAGTCTCTGAGATCCAGGCGCTCATAAGAACGGACGGACGGACGGACAGACAGACATGGCTCAATCGACTCGGCTATTGATGCTGATCAAGAATATATATACTTTATGGGTTTGGAAACGTTTCCTTCTGTGCATTACATACGTTATTCCCCACGAATACAATATACCCTATTATTTACTCATCGAGTACCAGGTATAACAACTAAAACAGAAGCCAAAAGCCGCCACAGAAACTCATGTTTTCTGTTTTTAATGATTTCTGCCGTTCTGTTTTTCAGCTTTGAGCGAAGATTATCTGTGCTTCTGGTTGGCCTGCCAGTCTGCCTGTCTGTCTGCCTCGCCCTCGCCCTCGCCCACTCCCTCCCTCTCTCTCTCTCCCTGTCTCTCTCTGTGTACAAGTACGATCGTATATCTATCTATTGCCTTGAATGACTTGTGACACACTTGATAGCCGCAAAAACCACTTTGACAATTGCAATTACCAGTTAAAATGGGGAATGGGGCAATTATAGAGCGTATCTCTGTATCTCTCTATCTGTATCTGAATCCGAACAATCGCTCCGTTGCTCGTAATTACATATGTTTTAGCTCTCAAATTATTATTGTCTGTCTGTCTGTTGTTTAATTACGAGATAAAGCTGAAAAAAAAAAATGGAAAAGCAAATGAAGAAATATATTAAAACAAATCTTGAAATTAGCAGGAAATTAAACACAGACAGAGGAAATGTATGAACGTAAATCCCTTAAAAAGGCAAGGACGCTTGACCCCTTCACTGCGTCAGCGCAGGGCAGGGCCTTTGACCTTATCGCTTGGTCAATTAAATAGAACTCCCTTGGGTTGCATGGGGTCATGGACCCAACTAGCCAGCACAGAAATAGCCACACCAGCAGGCAGGGGTGTGGCAAACAGCATTTGAACTATGAGAAAAGAATTCTACTGCATAATTATGTGGTTGAAAAACTCCACTAAAGAAGTCATTACACACATAAATGCCAATTGGAGAGAATTTTAAATTTAAATGATACAAAAATGTTGAGAATTTTGGAAATTTCCTGTCCATCCTGTTGAATAAACTTAAAGTCAAAGAGATGTACTATTTATAATGTAAAAATACGAAAATACGAACGCCAAACAGACAAAAGATCAACCGATATACAAAGCTATGCCACGGTTGTGTTAGTCAAAGTGTGCTGCGCTTGAATCCGTACGCCAGCGACTTTTACTTCACATTTCAGTTTTGGTTTTGGCTACCTGTACGAAAAGGCCTACCCGTTTCTGTCGTTTTAGCTACAGTTATTGCCTGTGGCATACATATGCATATACATAAGCGGTAGCGAAAGAAGTCGTCCATTTTTGTAGCAGCACTCCAGCGCGGGTGGAGCACTCAATTGTCCTGGTGGAGCCTGCCGTCGGTCAACCTGTAAGTTTTTTGGGACCGTAGTAATACTTTTTAAGACGGCAAAGTTCATTCTAATTAGCAAACTGGAGAAAATTAAAAAACGCGCCCAGCAGCTCATACGGCACAAAATGGTGTTGGCTGAGCGCAACATCACGGATGTGGTGCAAAACGGACGTCGGTCGCATGAACCCTGTCCCAACACGAATATAGCTGGCGGTGTGGCTTCTAATGCGAACGTAGTTGCAAGCGGAGGTGCTGGGGCTGGGGTTGTTAACCCCACAAATCCACAATCCAATGAGAAGGCCTCAACGATCGTACCGGGTGCGGGCACGCCGGAGAGCTCAACAAAGCGCAACGGAAAATCAAAGGCCAGGCAATCTGAGTATGACAAAAAAATTCGCGTTGGAAGCGACTATCAGGCGGTTTATCCGCCACTCTTCGCCGATGTTGAGCGCCGCCCAGAACAAATGAATGAACGCGCCCTCTTGGTCTGGTCGCCAACAAAAGAGATACCAGACCTAAAATTTGAGGAGTACATTTCAGTGGCAAAGGAGAAATACGGCTACAACGGTGAACAAGCTCTAGCCTTGCTGTTCTGGCACAAACACGACTTGGATCGGTCCGGGATGGACTTGGCCAACTTTATGCCATTTCTTGATGAGTGGACCATTAAGGACAAAGTCTTATTTGAGCAGGCATTTCAGTTTCAAGGGAAAAGCTTCCATCGCATACGTCAAATGCTACCAGACAAATCAATCGCAAGTTTGGTGAAATACTATTACTCGTGGAAGAAGACGCGTCATCGTAGCAGTGCAATGGATCGACAGGAGAAGATCATGAAGACTTGTGTCAAGGATGGTTCCAAGAATGGCAGTGAAGTGGGTAGCAATGAGGAGTCTGATAACGATGACAAGACGGGCCCAAACAAAAATGGCACAAACAATAGCAGTAACAGTGCTTGCAGCAACAATAATTGCGACAATAATAATGGAGGAAGCATCAACAGCAACAGCAACGGCAACAGCAACGACTTGAACGTGGATCAATTGTGCAATTGTGGTGCCCTCGCCACCTGCAAGGACATCAGCGTGTATTTAGCCGAACGTGATCGCAAAATCAGCGCTTTAATGGTTGAAATACAAAAAAATAGGCAGCTTATGGAGGTGTTGGATAAGGAATGCGATGCTATTAATGTTGACGATATTGTATCTAAGCCAGCCATAGCGATTTCGGAGTCGTCCACAACGCAGCCGCCCACTTCTGCTCGTTGGACTCCGGATGAGATCAAGGTGCGCGACAATGGAAAGAACTATCCGATGATAGCCAAACTTGTGCCCACCAAGACCAAAGCGCATCTCGACCAGATCGTGAAAGAGTATGAGGCTGGAATGTCGGAAGAGTCTGGTGTTGAAGATCATAACGAACAGATAGATGATGGGTCAGCACCAGCAGCTAACTCAGACTCAGTTATTAAGCTGTTTACCGATGCCAGCAACAACGGACTTAACCCCGATCAGGAGTTGCAGGCCAAAAAGGCGAAGCCCGAACTGGTAACAGCTGAAGTACAAAGCGACAACAGTGATGCAGCAGTTGTCACTGCCATTGCAATACCCGCTGAGGTTGTTAATTCAAATAGTAGCCTCGTTGTCGAACCCACTGGCAACAAGACTGCTTCAATCACCATTATGGATGAGTCGGATACCGCCACTAACTCGAGTGCCGATATGGCCATCAGCAGCACCAATACCGGTGTTAGTGCCTCATCCTCGTCACTATCGAGTGCTAACACTCCACCTGCGCCAATATTGGTTGATCAGAAAGAGCCCGACAGCGCAGAGATATCCGCACTAAATCACAGTTCAAAAGGGGACGCAGACGGTGCTGGAGCAAATGCGGCTACAGGCAATGCCAATGCCAAACGCAAAATCTCCACCGTGACGTCTGCCGAACAGCCCCCACCCAAAAAAGTAGCACTCTGCACCAGCGTGGAACTCCTCGAAAAGTAACTGACCTGACCCATGGAGCTCGGTGATGTGTTCGCATATGATATCTGTGTATTATCTGTGTATAATATAATTACACAAGTGTAAATTATAAACTTTACCATCACCCTTTGTTTTTTGAGCTGTAATTAGCATGTAATGAAGCACTTTTCAAAGTCTTGACAACATTAGCCGCAAGTATGATATATATTCCAAACGATGGGACCGCTGAATCCAGCCTCTACACATCTGAGAACGGTATTGCTATTAGATAAATTACAATATGACTGGACAAAATGTACAAGAAGCGAAATCCATTCAGAAACATACAAATAAAAACGTTAAATATTATTTTCAAGAAGGAAAAAACAAACAGATATTTCAACAGAGCCAAAATCAAATACAACATTTTGAAAACAATCTCCACGATGATGATGGATATCTCTCTCCACCCCATCTTGCTGTCAATGACATTGGGGAGTAGACCCGCCCAGCTGAACGAGGGGGGTATTAACCCTTTCTTGCCTCATCTGTTTGTTTTGGCCTTTAAGCTTTTTAAGCCACAAAACACAAACATAAAAAGTTGCTGTATTTTTATTTCTATTACATTTTTCATTTTCGTTTCTTTTGGCTTGAAAGTTTTTCTCGTTTGTGAAACTCTGTGGCTTGACCGCCGCCGTATATCGTCATTATATCAGGGATCATTATGATCATCCCATATGTCCGATTACAGTTACTTGAGTGCTTTTTAACCGCTTTTTACTGGAGCTGGAAAGCAAAACAAAACAAAAACCTTTTACAGCTTTAATTACATAAAAAAAAAAGTAAAAAAAAAAAACTTTAAAAAATAACAGCCTCAGCCATAACTCGCGTATGTTCCGTGTGTCTGCTGGACATTGACCGTCAAATCGGTGGAGAGTGGATGGGTGGGATGGGGTGGGGCAGCAGCAGGCACGCCTCGTCGCATTTGACACATGAGTCTCCTCCCCGTCAGACAATCGCTTGACACAGACATAGAAACCGCCCCCCAAAATTTGAAATGATTGCTCCAAGGGTTTACTGATCTCTAACTATTTTTATACCCGGTACTCGAAGAGTAAAAGGGTATATTGTATTTTTGCACAAAGTTGATGTATGTAACACACAGAAGGAAACGTTTCCGTCCACATAAAGTATATATATTCTTGATCAGCATCAATAGCCGAGTCGATAGAGCCATGTCTGTCCGTCCGCCTTGTTGAGCGCCTGGATTTCAGAGACTATATAAGCTAGAGCCACCAAATTTTGCATCTAGGCTTCTGTATGCCTAAGAAAACTAAAAACGCCATTCCGTAGGGAATGACCATAAAAGTTGTGACGCGTAAGCAGCGTCTCACAAGTCAATTCTCGTTCTCTTTGGTAATGGCAACGCATGACATTTTGGGTTTTTAAGAGGGTTTTAAATCGGGATTTTCTACCAGCATCATTATGGGTTAAATTTCTTTGTTTACAGGAGAATAAACGTATAAAGACTTTGATCTTATGTGTCAGAGAATCCATGGAAACCCAGGAGGAAACTTTGATAAAAGAAATGTTGTATCCATTATGAGCAAAAATGTATTTAATTTAAAATTGTATTGTTGATGTTCACAATCTTCTTTTTATTATTGATATCTTTGATTAATTTTTGTTGTTAGAATCTCCTAAGTTCTTCCATATTGGCAAATCTGTGTGTTTAACCACAAATTTTCCTCATTTACTGTTTTCAGATCCTACTAAACTATTGAGGATCGATCCATGGGATAAGAAAATGAAAGCAAATATTTTAATATCCAGCGCTACGATGGGCCTCGTGGCGCCCAGCCGCCGTTTCTATGCAACGCATCTCAGACGCTAAAAGCCAAAGAGGAAGGAAGGAGGAAGGAGAATCATAATAGAAACCGCCAGTCGCAGCGGTGGGCCTGGACCAGGGCCAGGGCCAATATCCCCCTTCCAAACGCCACCCGTCCCCACCCACAAATGAGGAGGGTTGGCAACGACGGGCCAACAACAGGTTGAGGAGCAGCGCCTAAGCAAAAGCACCAAACAAATCAAAAGCAAATGCCAGAGCAAAAGCAAAAGCAACAGAAAGAAGCAGACAAATAAAGCAGAGAAAACCACCAAAACCGCAGAAGCAGCAAGCAGAGGCTAGCGAAAGAGAGCGGCAGACCGACCGGGCAGGCGTGAGAGTAAAAGAAGGAGAGAGTAATCCAATCAAAAAACCAAACACAAACGCTGCAGCAGCAGCAGCAGAAGCAAAATGTTACAAAACTCGAACGCAGCTGCAGCGACTGTGGCGCAGGCTGCATCGGCCGTGGCCACACCATCGAATGCAGCAGCAGCGGCAGCGGCTAATAATGCCGCAATTGCCGCCTCATCCATACAGCCGAAGCTGATTGTCATACGAAGGCGTCCGAATCAGGGCTTCGGCTTTACGCTGCGTCACTTTATTGCCTATCCACCGGAAGATGATGCCAACGCAGCAGCGGCAGCGTCAGCGTCAGCCGGCGTCACCAGCTGGTCACAGGTGAGAAACGGGGGAAAAGGGAGACCTTGCGAAAGGAAACGAGAGAGAGTAAAATAAAGAGAGTGAGTGAAAGAGAGCGCTGACTGCGCTGGCGCGCCGGTCAAGCAGAGAGGTGCAATTAGTCATCCAACTGTCGCTGCCCGTCCACTTTTGCTTTTTTGTTGTTTTTGTCGTTGTTGCTTTCCCGCATGCAAATGTCGTATGACAGCAAAACAGAGGGACAGAGAAGGCGAGAGAGAAAGACAGACAGAGATAGAGAGTGAGCGAGTAAACAGGCTTACATGGAGTACCCTTTCAATGGGGAATACAAACAAACTCTTCTCCCGGCTTTCCACGACGACGCGCTCTGTCGCGTTACGTGAGCGGCAGCAGCGCACGCGCGACTTATTCAAATTGCGACTATTTTTTTTTCTTTTTTTTTCTGCTTTCTTTTTGCTTTTCATTTGCGAGCGACGACGCGTTCCTTACAGCATCGAGCATGTGTGTTTCATCAACAGGTTTGCCTATGGTGTGGGGCATTGACTATACTTTTTGTATGGATTAATGATGATATTATCGATACCCATCGACCATAGGTAAATAAATAAGGAAAACGAAACCGTGGCATAATATTTAAACGGACTACGCGTAAATAATTTAATTTTTTGAGAAAGGGTATGCCATGCTTCGTTGGTGCCGTGTCCATGAACGAATACATATTTCTTTTCATTCGCCTTTCTGTTATTGCTTTTTTTTCTCACTAATTTGCGTTTTGCTCATTTAAGTTTTGTTGCTACTTTTTGTTTTAATATTACAAATCAAAGCCAGCGCTCGTTCGCTCTCTATTTCTCTCGATACTCACTTTAAGCTGCTCTTACACGATGCGTTTTCCACCGACGCTTATTAGTGGGTCTGAAAATGTTTTTTGTATCGATTGAATATAAGCATTGCTGTGCCATTTCAATCGGATTTTAAAGTGTTGGTGAAAAGCTTATCGGGTTTGCAGCAGCAGCTCGCTCTCTTGATCACTCGTTTAATCCAAGCGACGGAGCTCGGTTCGGCTCTCTCTCTCTCTCTCTCTCTCTCGCTCTCTGTTACTTTTTCCGCGCTATATGCTCTCCTGGGTGAATGCTTTTTGTAGTTTTTGTTGCTTTTTATTCACGATTTATGTGCCTTAAACTGTTGTTGTTTTCTTTCTGTTTCTCTGCTGTCTGGTCTTCGTTTCGTCGTTGTTGTGTGTAGGAAGCATCCACTGGAGGTGGCAGCAACAGCAACAACAGACACAGCCACAGCGGCAGCAGCAGCAGCAATAGCAACAGCAACAACAGCGCTGCCGGAATGGAGCCACCAACATCACCGACGTCGCTGCCGCCATACCAGGTGAAAGCGATGGAGACCATTTTCATCAAAGAGGTACAGGCGAACGGACCGGCCCACTATGCGAACCTCCAGACGGGCGACCGTGTGCTGATGGTCAACAATCAGCCGATAGCTGGCATTGCCTACAGCACCATCGTTTCGATGATCAAGCAAACGCCGGCGGTGCTCACGCTGCACGTTGTACCCAAGGAATGCGATGTGCTACAAATGGTGAGTGAGAGAAGAAGAGGATGATGTATTTTATATTATATTCTATATATCTAATCTATTACTCCTTATCTATCTGACTCCCGTCTCGCACCGTCTCGCTCTCCAGCACTATACAAGCATTGCCCATACGCCGGAATCGAATCGGTTGACAATGTCAACGCACTCGCCATCGCACGGGCATGGGCTGGGGCATACGCTGCTGGCCAATGGAACAACCAATGCCACCACCGCCTCCACAATCCACAAATCCACATTTCCACAGCAGCAGCAACAACAACAACAACAGCAGCAGCAGCAACAGTTGATCTCATATCCCGCTGTGGCTGCCACATCATCGCCGGCATCATCGCCGCACCAGCATCAGCATACGCACACGTATCCGCATCCTGTTCAATCACATCCTTCACATGGACATGCACCGTCCCTTCATGGTGGTAGCCGATCTGGTAGCATAACCAGCACCACCAGCGGAGGTGTCGTCTCCTCCATGAGTCATCATCATCAACAGCAGCATCATCGTCATCCGGCGCTCAGTGGCGGCAGCAGTAGCATTGATTTCGGAGATATGGCCCTTGGCCTGCGTCAGCATCCGCACCAGCACCAGCATCTCTATCAGCAGCAGCAACAGCAGCAGCTCCATCATCATCATCAGCAGCAGCAGTTGCTCTCCACTGGCGGCGGCAGCAGTGGCGCTTTCATGCGGTAAGTCAATAAACTTTTCCCCTCGGGGAATGGGTGATTAAATGAAAAAAAAAAGATCGATCACAGCTGATTTTAAATCATAAAACAGTTTAATTTATAAGATTGTGAGAAAGGTTTTTACAACAAACAAAGAAACACAAAAATATTTCACATATATTGATTCAAATCATCGAAACATTCAAAGAACAAAAAGGATTCAAACTGGGGGAAAAAAAAAAATGGAAAAGCAAACAGAATTAGAAAGTGAATTAGTTCGATCAATTGATCCTGCCCTGAAGATATTAGATCGAATTATACAGAATTGAAATGGCCCTTGGATGCCAAATCCAATCCACCAGTGGGCCATCAAACAGATTTTTTATTAAGTGTGCATAAATATTTTTAACTAATCAATTTTCAAGAAGAGTGCCCAAGAGATTAAATCGCAAGCCCTCCTAGCCATTAAACGAGAAAAGATTAATTATAATTGAGGCATTAACTTGGCGCCTTTAAAAGACTTGGCCCCCCACAAAGATAGCGTAGCTTTTGATAATGTCCCAGACGAACGTTTCTTCAAATCAAACATTTTTCAAGTGGGTTTAAAGTTTAAACTTGGGGCTGTTTATTGTTGCGAAACTGATTAATTATTTGTAAGTGATCATTTTCCTTTTATTCCTATACCTATTAATTGCTGTTTAGTTGAGGTTAAGACAGAGACACACTCAGTTTGAGTTGTTGAGAGGCGTTGAGGCTTGTTGTTGCTAAATTGGTTAATTATTATTCTTAAATATAAAATATCTTTTTTGGTTATCAAATTTCAAATAATTGAATAACTATATTGGGGAGTTACATATATTGAAAATTAATTAACAATCGGTTATGCAGGCACTATTGATTTTTGAACGTTATTGTATATTTCCAACGAAACGAGACGACAAGGCCAGCCACACGCAGAGAGTTGCAGGGGAGAAGGGGATGTGTGGCACGGCACTCTGCCACCAGATTTTCAGTGCAGCAAGTAATTATTAAGTTACAAGTTTCGACTGCATTGTTGGAATTATTTGGAAAATAAAACGAAATTTCCGTACAATTAAATTAAATAATATTAACTAAGAAAGAGACTGAAGTTACCACACAGACTGCAATCATTGCAATGCAATGCAACTATTTGTACTAGGAGTAAAGATAAGAACACGGAGTCAAAGTGATGGCAACATTTAAAGCGCCAATTATTTCCCATACCTTAATGGAAAACATTTGTTACTAGTGTCACAATTTGCCACGAGTATTTGTTACAATGCAATTGTTTAGTTTTAGGGGGAAAACCGTTTGGGGGGAACTGGTTAGGCGGGACAGTTTGGCATCAAGGCTTTTTCTGCATGCAGTGTGTAACGGACATGTCAAGTATTCCTCTTGCCAGATGTCTAAAATACAAAGTAATTATTATTAAAACTTATATTATATTGGGTAAGACATTTGACAATGAACAAACTTTGCGACTGTGATCCTTGGCATCCTCTGCAGTCCGTGTCTGTGATGGGTGCTTTATGGCTAGCCAAGTCTATTGACTGCGGAGTATTGGAACTTGAAGATGAACAAATTCGACTAAAAAAGGGGTCCAAAAACAAGTTACCTGAAATAGAAACAAGCAAATAATTAAGTGGAAAACTCTGAATGAGGCACGAGAAATTTACGATTATGAGAAGAGGCAGAGATAGAAAAAAAAAATACACACACACAGAGAAAAGCAGAGTCAAAGAGCAAGGGAAAATCAAGCTGCTGATGAACCAAATGACATTAATAATGTCATAGCCGCATAATGAACAACAAGCCAACGAATGGAAAGGAACGGAACGGAACGAACCGAACAATGCAAATAATTAAAGACAATTTGCAAATGGAGGACTGTGCGAAATGCATCAGACCCCAGCCCGAAAACACCCAAAACCTTAGTTGATCCATCCTTCCGTTTACCCCGGCATAATTTTCAGTTTTTGTGTGTTTGTTTGCCGTTTTTTGTGTGGCATTAATTTATGGTGGGGACGCAATACTCACGCCATATATGTAATGTATGGAAAACTCGACAAAAATATGTCAGAGGGGGGTGGAGGGGCTGGGCTCTGCGCTTCTTTTTTGGATGATTTCATTCCGTCATCAGAATTTCTCTTCATACAAGTTATTCGCATCTCAGTTTATTCATCTCTCGTGTCTGGCATTCCCATTGTATCTGTGGTGTGACGTCTTAAAGTCATGCAGTTTATCAAAAAAGGAATACAAGAAAAATATACAATCAATTCTTGGGGATAACTAAAGGGAGAAGACATAGGGAAAATAGTTTACTGAGTATGAAATAACTGAAGTAATAAATAGCAGATTGATTGAGAAAGCGGACCACCTATGGTATTAAATAAAAGGAATACTTATCTCAGTTGAAATTCTGATAAAGTTATCCCAGGGACATTTGCATTTCTTCGCTGGGAAACTGCTTGGGTGTCGCTTTTTGGAACGCCACTTGTTGGTGCAGTCGTCTCAGCAAAGACGGACAAGGTCGTACCCCAAACATGTTATCACTTCAAGCTTTGGGCTTTAACCTTTACCTTTGCCTTCTGCTCTCTCCCTCCTTTTTTGTTTATGCTTTACATTTATCTTTGCTGTGTAAATGGTCACGTTTTTCTCTCCACACATTTGCAATGTGCAATTTTCAAATTATCATGTGTCTTCCTATCTACACACGTTACGTGAGGCATTAGGAGGCATTAGAGCAGAGAAACACTAATAGATTGCCCATTAGAAGAACGAACTTTCTCCAGAACATCTGAAAGTGTTGACTTGAGGTAACAATAATTACAAAAAACTGCATGAATAAGATTCCACTTGATACTCGAGAATGCGGATGGAAAATGGTCTCCCTTTCTTGTCGTTGGAGCTTTCACTGTGCGCGAAACATTTTCCCCACTCGCTAATTTTTCACGTCCATTAAAACAGAGGTTGACGTGTTCCTCCAATGTGAGATTTCTGTGGCCCCGTTGGTCGTTGTCGCATATGAATTATTGAGAATTATTTTAATATGCAAAACGCAATATCGAACATTTTTTCACCTTCCTATAGCCCTCTGGTCACAATCTCATGGCCCTGACGACGTCGTCGTCGTTGTCTCACATTGCGTATACGCAGCGTTGTTGCATATGAATAAGTAAATCAATTATTATACAGTAAAAACGTAGCAACAAAAGCAATAACACAACTCATTGACTTATAAAGAAAGCGATGGGGAGAGGGAAGAAAGAGAGAGAGAGAGCTAAATGTTTGGAAGTAGAGGAAAACCACTGCAATACCTTATACTGATATCGGAGTGTAAATGGATCCCCGTCACTGACACCGACACCGACACCGATAACTGCCCGCCCCCTGCCAAAACCCGCAGTACTTTGCTCGAACAATACACAATGGAAATAGCGTTTTTTTTATTTTATATATTATTTTTTTGTGACTGGCCGACGCGCGACACACCGCGCACCCTCTTCTTTCTCCATTGTTAAATAATTACGACAAATTTAATTGAATTTTGTAAGGAGCGATCATCAGTCAGGGGAGTAAGGGCAGAAGAAGTAGCGAAGAACTTGAGCGATATGCCAAAGGGAAGAAGCACTACAGGGAGGTGAATGAATGAAAGCATTGGGTGCGGACACATCCAGTAGATAAACAGAGAATCCGCATTGATTCCGATCTTAAGCTAAAATTATGCATGCCAAGGGACTCACCTGTTGATAATGTTGATGTTTGGCAGTGGAAAGTGCAATAAACAAACTCCTAAATTAATAAACACCCTTCGATGCAATGCCTCTAGCCGGTTAACCGGTTTTATGCCGAGCAGCAAGCAGTTTTTGTATTCTAATGATAAGAATCGAATTGCCGTGACAAACAGGAGGGAAAAAGAAACACTGCCGCCGAACAGAACAGAAGAAGAGATGGCAGTGCAGATGGGCAGAAAATTGAGAAGCGGATGCGCTGACAGAGGCAGTGACTGCAGGCAGGCAGCAGCCAGCAGCAGGCAACAGTGGCAGTGGCAGTGGCAGAGAAAAAGGAACGCACACATATGTCAATTCATTCGGCTATCAACTGTAGGGGGGCGGTATTTTGATGGTATAGCTGGGGGGATGGCAAATATAACGGAGGACCACGCCCACGCTCAGGAATGCATTCATCGAGATGTGTGCTGCGACGCAACCAGACAGCAAGACACCACAGCACACTTCGCCATTCGCATCTAAAGAGGGTGGTTGAGAGGTAGAGCGAGGTCGCGAGAGACAGAGAAAGAGAGAGAGAGAGAGAGAGAGAAAGATTCCTATACCCTGTTTTCCACTTGGCATCACAGGGTATATTTGTTACGCCTGAGCCGATGATCTTTGAGGCTCTGATTTGCAATGACAGATGTGCACTGCCGCATTACGAGCCACACGTCGTGGAACGTCTAGAGCTTACAACGGTGGGCACTTGCACTTGCTTTTGTTTTAGGATCTATCCATCTATCGATTTGAGAATTTTATTATGGAAGGTACTCTGTAGTTCCAAACGTGGATGTGTTCTCAAATGTTTTTGCTAAAGATTAAAATGGAAATTGAGACACGAGTTCAGATTGAGTTTTGAGTAGACCTCGTGCCTCTCGGCTTGGTTGGTAGCGGGCGGTAGGGAGGCAGGTGGGGAGGCTTGTGTACATAAATTATTGACTACCAACGAGTACTTCAGGCTTCAAGTACATATGTTCATATAAATACGAGTATAAGTAAGTATTTATTAACATGGGTATAAACCAGATGTATGTACATACGTACTGTACTCGCACTCGTATCATATATGCGCATATGTAAGTAAGTATCTAGATAATTGTATAATGGCAACACGTTTTTATTGTGCGTGGATCCACATTCATTTGCCGGCACATCATAAACACTCGTTGCGGATGTTGTTGCTGCTGCTTTTTTGGGGCTTACGTTGGTGCTGCTGTTGCTGTTGCTGTTGCC